GGTTTGGTTATTTTGGTTGTTTCCGTAAGAAGATGTGTCAGCCCTTCCAAAGCTTCCCTGGATGCAAGGGTGGCAGATGAGGTGTTCTTATTTTAGTTACTTCTAGCCCTCTTCTTTCTAGTTTTTGTGTGTTTTCGTGGCAAGGGTTGTCGTTTGCGTTTTGTTGTTGTTGTTTTAATTAGTATTCTTTAAATTAAATTAATTAGTATTCTTTAAAAACACATTTGTTTTGGAGAGAGCGAAGTAATGAAAGTGTGGACAGGGACTTACACCACCCCTTCCATCCCAGGGATAGCATCTAGGTTGCTCTTATGTAATTATGTTTGCTCCATACCTGTTAGCAGGTGTGACTGAGGCTGGAAAGGAGAAGTGATGCAACTGATCTGCTTGAGGAGTTTCTCTTCTGCTGACCATTAGTCCGTCGTTCTTGTAGTTGTGTAGACAGTCACCTTACCATCTCAGAATTCATTAATGCAGGTGCCAGGGCTCCAGATTTTGGAGCAGAACTCTGACAACCAGCTGGCAGGACCTTAAGAAGGAACTTGTCTTTCAGGGTAGATCATTCCAGAATGTGCTGCAGTGTCATTTGAAGCAGCTTGCAGTGGATACTGCTGCTGATGGGCTGCTGCCCTGGCACTGATGCAGACTCCTGAGATCTTGTGTTTGTAATCTGAATATAAAGCTCTAACATGAAACATTACTTCAGAGGGTGACTTTATAGGAAAATAATTTCTATCAATAATATTAGAAATAGTTTCTGCACTACATTCTGTCATTTTTCTGTTAGCAGAACTCTGTTACCTTCTTTAAGAGAAGCAGAAACTTTGTCTTACTTGAGTCTGCCTACCCACAGGAAGCAGCTGAAGGTGTGACAAGTATGTAGTGTGGAAGGCTATGATGTTGCTACATTTTTCTGATTTTCATAGCTTTTATTTTCAGTCTTTCAGCATTTCCACTGTGGTTGCAGGAGGAAAAGGGCATTTCTAAGGCCACGTCTCCTGCATGAGTGCATTCAGGTGTAGTATGTGTTGCACTTGTAGCAGTGTGAGTTGCTTTAGCCCCAGCATGTTCACTGATCACTTACTGTTTTCTCTGATAACTTACTTTACTCTCGAGTGAAACAGACTGTGCTAACAGAACCACAGCTTTGCAGGCTCAGCTGTATCTGTTCTGTGGGTTTCACCCAGCACTGCTCTCTTGTCTTGGGATTCAGTCCTTGGGGTAGCAAAGTTTTCGTAAGATAAATATGGCCTGAGTAACTTTTAGTTTTTGAAATAAATCTTGTTTATTAAAGCCTTTAGCTTTCAGTTTGTTTTGGGGTTTTTTTGTTTGGTTTTTTTTGGGTGGAGAAACACATCTAATACATTAGTTTTTGACCTGTGTTTCATTCTTTTATTATTTTGAGGTATTTCTGAAAGTCTCCTGTTAGCTCACTGGATATAAAAGGAGAGATGCAGCTATCCCACTGGACTTGAGGGACATTGTTTTAGTTACAGATAACAACCACACAGTCTGTATCTGCTCTTATCTTGCTTACCCCTGTTGCTGAACTTAATAGATTTGAGGATTTCATTTTTAGCAGATCTAGAAATTGTGTTCCTATTTCCCAAGTTTTGTGTGTGCAGTAAGGAATTTTTTCCTTGTCCATCAGAATTCATAACAGAGTTAGAAATTATGAATGCATTGTGCTCTCCAGGTGAATCTACTGTGTGCTTTCCTCAGAAATTTAAAGTATGAAATGGTCCTGCTTCAGGTAATTAATTGAGTAAGGTTGGCTGACCTGTACTCTGTACTCTGACTTGCTTAGCCACTGAAGAAAAGAGCTGAACAAGACAGGTGCCTTGTGCCCCTTCAACTGCATCTGTCTCTTCAGTACTTATAAAACACCTTCGATTGATTGATGGCATTCTGTAAAGTTTATTTTTAAAGTAAAATATCTGTACCATATTTTTGTTTCAGTTAGTTTCTTCCTTACTGTGCCTTAGTTTTTTAGCATCTTTAGCCTATCCTAAAGGATTCAAAGCTATGCCTACTATGATATTGTTCTCTTGTAGTTGGTGCAGGGCACTGAAAGATTGGCTCATGGAAACTTTCCTGAAACTAGAAAAATCAGCCTAAGGCAGATGGAAAAATTTAGTTCAGAAGATTCTACAAAGCGTTAGTTGATGCAAAGAATTGATGCAGAATAGAATCTCTTCTACTCTGCAATATGTTATTAAACATGCATAGTTTAGAGAGTTTTGCAGGGAATAAACTTCTTCTGTTGGCAAGCCTTTTCTGTTCTAAGTGTGTGGTAAACACAGCAAATGTGAGGCTGGGAGTTGAATAGAACTCTGCAGATTGCTTGACAGGTACAGCAAACCTTTCACAGCCAGATTTCCATAATGACAAACGTTGCCACCTTTGTTAACAGTCTCACACTGATCCTTTAGATTCAAAGAGAGTCCTTCTTTGTTCTTACCTGTTTTTGTAGTTCCTCGATGGAAATGGTGTTAAAAGCTGCCCACAGCACTATGGAAGCATCCGGACAAAATAGTCATCCACTGAGACCCTTGGGGGACTGTTGGGCAAAGTGACAGAAATGAAGAGCCTCAACCATCGTGGCACCATGGCGGCGGCTGAGTCCGACAAGGACTCTGGATATTCAGGTTTAGAAAACCACTGTCTTACCTTTTTGTGTGTTATCTTGCTCGAGCTTTACTTTTAGTGGTGATGTTTAACAAATCTGACTAACCCCTCAACAGTTTGTGTCTTGCTACCTGGGAGGGCCTTTCTCTGCAAAGATAGGTTGCATCTGCAGTCATCCTACCATCAGAGTCTTTTGGAGTGGGAGTTTAGCTAATTGTAAAGTTCATCCTGTGAGTTTGAATAGCACTGGAATTTAAAATGTGCCTAATAAAGAAATTAATGGAAGAATCTCAGATTCAGAGTGTAGAAGTGGAGATGGCAAAACTATTTGTTCTTTGCAGTGATGAACGAACTGTTGGATTATGCTGCCTAATGTCTATTAACAGTCTGACCCAATTACCAGTAGAGCCTGATAAACCAGAGAGTAATTGTTATAACATCAGTAAAATGTAGGCACGGTGTGCCGTTTTCATACTCAGCAAAACTGTACAAAGATGGTCTTTAAAGAAGGAAAAAAAAAAAGCTTTTGTGAGAGGTATCTGCTTTACTGAGGTTTTTAGACAGGAGATTTGGAGCCACAAAGTGCCTGCAGCACAAACTACTGCTGTGTCAATGCTGGAGCCTGTAGTTCTTTCCTGCACCAGTTTTTAGAGCAGTCTTCATGATAGTATGCAGCCCTTTGGAGACTAAATACAAAAGAACAAAAAGTAATAGATTTTTTTGGGAGACAATCTCTACATAAGAACTGACCTGAAATATAAAGCCTTTTATTAAAGGCTATTTGACAGCTCTTAGTTTTATTGATACGACAGAAGTAAACTTTATTGCTGTTTGTGACTTGGTTGAAAGGAAGCAGAATAGAACTGAAAGGCAGCAGTAAGCATGTTGCATGTGAAACAACTAACAGCTGAATTCCATGTCTGGCAGATGGAAGTTCAGAGTGCCCGAGTGCTATGGAGCAGACTGACTCGGAGGACGTGCTGAATGCGCTGTGCTGGAGTGCAGAGGATGGACCTTGGCAATGCCCAATGACCACAAGCAGCTCCTTTCCTGCACTTTCTCCTATGGTTGTAATGAAAAATGTGTTAGTTAAGCAGGTAAGAAAGAAATAATATATTGAAAAATATTGCATGTTCTTAATTTTATTACGTGTTTTCCCTCGCTGAAAGATTACGTGACGTTGCTGCAGTCCAGAAAGTAGACTTTCTAAGCTGCCAGTTCATGTGACAGTCTGCTCTTTAGACCATCACTAAGGTGGGAAAATATGGTTGTAATGAAAAATGTGTTAGTTAAGCAGGTAAGAAAGAAATAATATATTGAAAAATATTGCATGTTCTTAATTTTATTACGTGTTTTCCCTCGCTGAAAGATTACGTGACGTTGCTGCAGTCCAGAAAGTAGACTTTCTAAGCTGCCAGTTCATGTGACAGTCTGCTCTTTAGACCATCACTAAGGTGGGAAAAAATGTGGAGAAGCTCTG